CCCACTCACTCACTCACCCACTCACTCACTCACCCACCCACCCACCCACGCACCCACTCACTCACTCACTCACCCACTCACTCACTCACCCACTCACTCACTCACTCACCCACTCACTCACCCTCTCACTCACCCACTCACTCACTCACTCACCCACTCACTCACCCTCTCACCCACTCACTCACTCACTCACCCACTCACCCTCCCACTCACCCTCCCACTCACCCACTCACTCACTCACCCACTCACTCACCTACTCACTCACTCACTCACCCACTCACTCACTCACCCACTCACTCACCCACCCACTCACTCACCCACTCACTCACTCACCCACTCACTCACCCACCCACTCACTCACCCACTCACTCATTCACCCACTCACTCACTCACCCACTCACTCACTCACCCACCCACTCACTCACCCACTCACTCACTCACTCAGTCACTCACCCACTCACCCACTCACTCACTCACCCACTCACTCACCCACTCACTCACTCACCCACTCACTCACTCACTCACCCTCCCACTCACCCTCTCACTCACCCACTCACTCACCCACTCACTCACTCACCCACTCACTCACCCACTCACTCACCCACTCACTCACCCACCCACTCACTCACCCACCCACTCACTCACCCACCCACTCACTCACCCACTCACTCACTCACCCACTCACTCACTCACCCACCCACCCACCCACCCACGCACCCACTCACTCACTCACTCACCCACTCACTCACTCACCCACTCACTCACTCACTCACCCACTCACTCACCCTCTCACTCACCCACTCACTCACTCACTCACCCACTCACTCACCCTCTCACCCACTCACTCACTCACTCACCCACTCACCCTCCCACTCACCCTCCCACTCACCCACTCACTCACTCACCCACTCACTCACCCACTCACTCACCCACTCACTCACCCACTCACTCACTCACCCACTCACTCACTCACTCACCCTCCCACTCACCCTCTCACTCACCCACTCACCCACCCTCTCACTCACTCACCCACTCACTCACTCACCCTCCCACTCACCCACCCACTCACTCACTCACTCACCCACCCTCCCACTCACCCACCCACTCACTCACCGACTCACTCACCCACTCACTCACCCACTCACCCTCCCACTCACCCACCCACTCACCCACTCACTCACCCACTCACCCTCTCACTCACTCACTCACTCACCCACTCACTCACCCTTCCACTCACCCACTCACTCACCCACCCACCCACTCACCCACCCACTCACTCACTCACACTCCCACTCACCCTCTCACTCATTCACTCACTCACTCACTCACCCACCCACTCACTCACTCACCCACTCACTCAGCCACTCACTCACCCTCCCACTCACCCTCCCACTCACTCACTCACTCACCCACTCACTCACTCACCCACTCACCCACCCTCTCACCCACTCACTCACCCACCCACCCACTCACCCACCCACTCACCCACTCACCCACTCACTCACCCACTCACCCACTCACCCACCCACCCACTCACCCACTCACTCACTCACTCACCCACCCTCCCACTCACCCACCCACTCACTCACCCACTCACTCACCCACTCACCCTCCCACTCACCCACCCACTCACCCACTCACTCACCCACTCACCCTCTCACTCACTCACTCACCCACTCACTCACCCTTCCACTCACCCACTCACTCACCCACCCACCCACTCACCCACCCACTCACTCACTCTCCCACTCACCCTCTCACTCATTCACTCACTCACTCACTCACCTACCCACTCACTCACTCACCCACCCTCTCACCCACTCACTCACCCACCCACCCACTCACCCTCCCACTCACCCACTCACCCACTCACTCACCCACTCACCCACTCACCCACCCACTCACTCACCCACCCACTCACTCACCCACTCACTCACCCACCCACCCACTCACCCTCCCACTCACCCTCCCACTCACCCACTCACTCACCCACTCACCCACTCACCCACCCACTCACTCACCCACCCACTCACTCACCCACTCACCCCACTCACCCACCCACTCACTCACCCACCCACTCACTCACCCACTCACTCACCCACTCACTCACTCACCCACCCACTCACTCACCCACTCACTCACCCACTCACTCACCCACTCACTCACTCACCCACCCACTCACTCACCCACCCACTCACTCACCCACTCACTCACCCACTCACTCACTCACCCACCCACTCACTCACCCACCCACCCACTCACCCACCCACTCACCCACTCACATCACTCACCCACTCACTCACTTACTCACCCTCTCACTAACCCTCTCACTCACTCACCCACCCACTCACCCTCCCACTCACTCACCCACTCACTCACCCTCCCACTCACCCTCACATCCTCTTCTGGGATGTTCAGGATGCCGATGAGGGAGTCAAGTCCAGACCCATTGGGACGACACAGCCACACAAGGCCTGAAACACACAAACACACACACACTCACATACACACATATACTAACATACACACATATACATACACACATATACATACACACACACTCACATACATACACATACACTCACATACACACATACACTCACATACACACACACTCACATACACACATATACATACACACACACACTCACACACTCACATACACACAAACACACACACACTCACACACTCACATACACACAAACACACATACACTCACATACACACATACACTCACATACACACACACACTCACATACACACATATACATACACACACACACTCACACACTCACATACACACATATACATACACACAACCACACAATCCCTGAAACACACAAACATACATACACACACATACACTCACATATACACACACACACTCACATGTGTGTGTGTATGTGAGTGTGTATGTGTGTGTATGTGTGTATGTGAGTGTGTGTGTGTTTGTGTGTGTATATGTGTGTGTTTGTGTGTGTGTTTGTGTGTGTCTCTGTGTGTGTGAGTAAGTGAGTGAGTCTGAGTGAGTGAGTCTGAGTGAGTCTGAGTGAGTGAGTGAGTCTGAGTGAGTCTGAGTGAGTCTGAGTGAGTGAGTGAGTCTGAGTGAGTCTGAGTGAGTGAGTCTGAGTGAGTCTGAGTGAGTGAGTCTGAGTGAGTGAGTCTGAGTGAGTCTGAGTGAGTGAGTCTGAGTGAGTGAGTCTGAGTGAGTCTGAGTGAGTGAGTCTGAGTGAGTCTGAGTCTGAGTGAGTCTGAGTCTGAGTGAGTGAGTCTGAGTGAGTGAGTCTGAGTGAGTGAGTCTGAGTGAGTGAGTCTGAGTGAGTGAGTGAGTCTGAGTGAGTGAGTCTGAGTGAGTGAGTCTGAGTGAGTGAGTCTGAGTGAGTGAGTGAGTCTGAGTGAGTGAGTCTGAGTGAGTGAGTCTGAGTGAGTGAGTCTGAGTGAGTGAGTGAGTCTGAGTGAGTCTGAGTGAGTGAGTCTGAGTGAGTGAGTTTGAGTGAGTGAATTATGAGTGAGTGAGTCTGAGTGAGTGAGTCTGAGTGAGTGAGTGAGTCTGAGTGAGTCTGAGTGAGTGAGTGAGTCTGAGTGAGTGAGTGAGTCTGAGTGAGTGAGTCTGAGTGAGTGAGTGAGTCTGAGTGAGTCTGAGTGAGTGAGTGAGTCTGAGTGAGTGAGTGAGTCTGAGTGAGTGAGTCTGAGTGAGTCTGAGTGAGTGAGTGAGTCTGAGTGAGTCTGAGTGAGTGAGTCTGAGTGAGTCTGAGTGAGTGAGTGAGTCTGAGTGAGTCTGAGTGAGTGAGTGAGTCTGAGTGAGTGAGTGAGTCTGAGTGAGTGAGTCTGAGTGAGTCTGAGTGAGTGAGTCTGAGTGAGTGAGTGAGTCTGAGTGAGTGAGTCTGAGTGAGTGAGTCTGAGTGAGTCTGAGTGAGTGAGTGAGTCTGAGTGAGTCTGAGTGAGTGAGTGAGTCTGAGTGAGTGAGTCTGAGTGAGTGAGTCTGAGTGAGTAAGTGAGTGAGTCTGAGTGAGTGAGTGAGTCTGAGTGAGTCTGAGTGAGTGAGTCTGAGTGAGTGAGTCTGAGTGAGTGAGTGAGTCTGAGTGAGTGAGTGAGTCTGAGTGAGTCTGAGTGAGTGAGTGAGTCTGAGTGAGTGAGTGAGTCTGAGTGAGTGAGTCTGAGTGAGTCTGAGTGAGTCTGAGTGAGTCTGAGTGAGTGAGTCTGAGTGAGTCTGAGTGAGTGAGTCTGAGTGAGTCTGAGTGAGTCTGAGTGAGTGAGTGAGTCTGAGTGAGTGAGTGAGTCTGAGTGAGTGAGTCTGAGTGAGTCTGAGTGAGTGAGTCTGAGTGAGTGAGTCTGAGTGAGTGAGTGAGTCTGAGTGAGTGAGTCTGAGTGAGTGAGTGAGTCTGAGTGAGTGAGTGAGTCTGAGTGAGTGAGTCTGAGTGAGTGAGTCTGAGTGAGTCTGAGTGAATGAGTGAGTCTGAGTGAGTCTGAGTGAGTCTGAGTGAGTGAGTCTGAGTGAGTGAGTGAGTCTGAGTGAGTCTGAGTGAGTCTGAGTGAGTGAGTCTGAGTGAGTGAGTCTGAGTGAGTCTGAGTGAGTGAGTCTGAGTGAATGAGTGAGTCTGAGTGAGTCTGAGTGAGTCTGAGTGAGTGAGTCTGAGTGAGTGAGTCTGAGTGAGTCTGAGTGAGTGAGTCTGAGTGAGTGAGTGAGTCTGAGTGAGTGAGTGAGTCTGAGTGAGTGAGTCTGAGTGAGTGAGTGAGTCTGAGTGAGTCTGAGTGAGTGAGTCTGAGTGAGTCTGAGTGAGTCTGAGTGAGTCTGAGTGAGTGAGTCTGAGTGAGTGAGTCTGAGTGAGTCTGAGTGAGTCTGAGTGAGTGAGTCTGAGTGAGTGAGTCTGAGTGAGTCTGAGTGAGTGAGTCTGAGTGAGTGAGTGAGTCTGAGTGAGTCTGAGTGAGTGAGTCTGAGTGAGTGAGTGAGTCTGAGTGAGTGAGTGAGTCTGAGTGAGTCTGAGTGAGTCTGAGTGAGTGAGTGAGTCTGAGTGAGTGAGTCTGAGTGAGTGAGTCTGAGTGAGTGAGTGAGTCTGAGTGAGTCTGAGTGAGTGAGTGAGTCTGAGTGAGTGAGTCTGAGTGAGTGAGTGAGTCTGAGTGAGTGAGTGAGTCTGAGTGAGTGAGTGAGTCTGAGTGAGTGAGTCTGAGTGAGTCTGAGTGAGTGAGTCTGAGTGAGTGAGTCTGAGTGAGTGAGTGAGTCTGAGTGAGTGAGTCTGAGTGAGTGAGTCTGAGTGAGTGAGTGAGTCTGAGTGAGTGAGTGAGTCTGAGTGAGTGAGTGAGTCTGAGTGAGTGAGTCTGAGTGAGTGAGTGAGTCTGAGTGAGTGAGTCTGAGTGAGTGAGTGAGTCTGAGTGAGTGAGTCTGAGTGAGTGAGTCTGAGTGAGTCTGAGTGAGTGAGTCTGAGTGAGTGAGTCTGAGTGAGTGAGTGAGTCTGAGTGAGTGAGTCTGAGTGAGTGAGTCTGAGTGAGTGAGTGAGTCTGAGTGAGTGAGTGAGTCTGAGTGAGAGAGTGAGTCTGAGTGAGTGAGTCTGAGTGAGTGAGTGAGTCTGAGTGAGTGAGTCTGAGTGAGTGAGTCTGAGTGAGTGAGTGAGTCTGAGTGAGTGAGTGAGTCTGAGTGAGTCTGAGTGAGTGAGTCTGAGTGAGTCTGAGTGAGTCTGAGTGAGTGAGTCTGAGTGAGTGAGTCTGAGTGAGTCTGAGTGAGTCTGAGTGAGTGAGTCTGAGTGAGTGAGTGAGTCTGAGTGAGTGAGTGAGTCTGAGTGAGTGAGTCTGAGTGAGTCTGAGTGAGTGAGTGAGTCTGAGTGAGTGAGTCTGAGTGAGTGAGTGAGTCTGAGTGAGTGAGTCTGAGTGAGTGAGTGAGTCTGAGTGAGTGAGTCTGAGTGAGTGAGTGAGTCTGAGTGAGTGAGTCTGAGTGAGTGAGCGAGTCTGAGTGAGTGAGTGAGTCTGAGTGAGTGAGTCTGAGTGAGTCTGAGTGAGTGAGTCTGAGTGAGTGAGTGAGTCTGAGTGAGTGAGTCTGAGTGAGTGAGTCTGAGTGAGTGAGTGAGTCTGAGTGAGTGAGTGAGTCTGAGTGAGTGAGTCTGAGTGAGTGAGTGAGTCTGAGTGAGTGAGTCTGAGTGAGTGAGTCTGAGTGAGTGAGTGAGTCTGAGTGAGTGAGTCTGAGTGAGTGAGTGAGTCTGAGTGAGTGAGTCTGAGTGAGTGAGTGAGTCTGAGTGAGTGAGTGAGTCTGAGTGAGTGAGTCTGAGTGAGTGAGTGAGTCTGAGTGAGTGAGTCTGAGTGAGTGAGTCTGAGTGAGTGAGTGAGTCTGAGTGAGTGAGTGAGTCTGAGTGAGTGAGTCTGAGTGAGTGAGTGAGTCTGAGTGAGTGAGTGAGTCTGAGTGAGTGAGTCTGAGTGAGTGAGTGAGTCTGAGTGAGTGAGTGAGTCTGAGTGAGTGAGTGAGTCTGAGTGAGTGAGTGAGTCTGAGTGAGTGAGTCTGAGTGAGTGAGTGAGTCTGAGTGAGTGAGTGAGTCTGAGTGAGTGAGTCTGAGTGAGTCTGAGTGAGTCTGAGTGAGTGAGTCTGAGTGAGTGAGTGAGTCAGAGTGAGTGAGTGAGTCTGAGTGAGTCTGAGTGAGTGAGTCTGAGTGAGTGAGTGAGTCTGAGTGAGTGAGTCTGAGTGAGTCTGAGTGAGTCTGAGTGAGTGAGTGAGTCTGAGTGAGTGAGTCTGAGTGAGTGAGTGAGTCTGAGTGAGTGAGTCTGAGTGAGTGAGTGAGTCTGAGTGAGTGAGTGAGTCTGAGTGAGTGAGTCTGAGTGAGTGAGTGAGTCTGAGTGAGTGAGTCTGAGTGAGTGAGTCTGAGTGAGTGAGTGAGTCTGAGTGAGTGAGTGAGTGAGTCTGAGTGAGTGAGTCTGAGTGAGTGAGTGAGTCTGAGTGAGTGAGTGAGTCTGAGTGAGTGAGTCTGAGTGAGTGAGTGAGTCTGAGTGAGTGAGTCTGAGTGAGTGAGTGAGTCTGAGTGAGTCTGAGTGAGTGAGTCTGAGTGAGTGAGTCTGAGTGAGTGAGTGAGTCTGAGTGAGTGAGTCTGAGTGAGTCTGAGTGAGTCTGAGTGAGTGAGTCTGAGTGAGTGAGTGAGTCTGAGTGAGTGAGTCTGAGTGAGTGAGTGAGTCTGAGTGAGTGAGTGAGTCTGAGTGAGTGAGTCTGAGTGAGTCTGAGTGAGTCTGAGTGAGTCTGAGTGAGTCTGAGTCTGACTCACCTGCCCATGATCTGAAAGTTGACACAATTGCCATTCGACTTGCGACAAATCTTGACTCACGATCCTCCCTGCAGACTCGCACACAGCTAGAGGTAAAGCTCCCCCAGGTAGCCTCTGGTAGACTCAGGGGCAAGTGCAGCTACAGACAAAGCTCCCCCAAGTAGCCTCAGCTAGACTCAGGGGCAAGTGCAGCTACATACAGACAAAGCTCCCCCAGGTAGCCTCTGGTAGACCCAGGGGTCAAGTGCAGCTACATACAAAGCTCCCCCAGGTAGCCTCTGCTAGACTCAGGGGGTCAAGTGCAGCCTGGCACACAGCTAGAGGTAAAGCTCCCCCAGGTAGCCTCTGGCAGGGCTGCAGGGGTCAAGTGCAGACTCGCACACAGCTAGAGGTAAAGCTCCCCCAGGTAGCCTCTGGTAGACTCAGGGGGTCAAGTGCAGACTCGCACACAGCTAGAGGTAAAGCTGCCCCAGGTAGACTCTGGTAGACCCAGGGGCAAGTGCAGCTACATACAGACAAAGCTCCCCCAGGTAGCCTCTGGTAGACTCAGGGGCAAGTGCAGCTACATACAGACAAAGCTCCCCCAGGTAGCCTCTGGTAGACTCAGGGTCAAGTGCAGACTCGCACACAGCTAGAGGCAAAGCTCCCCCAGGTAGCCTCTAGCAGGGCTGTAGGGGCAAGTGCTGTCACACACAGACAAAGCTCCCCAGGTAGCCTCTAGTAGACTCGGGGTCAAGTGCAACCTGCCACACAGCTAGAGGTAAAGCTCCCCCAGGTAGCCTCTGGCAGGACTCAGGGGCAAGTGCAGTTACATACAGACAAAGCTCCCCCAGGTAGCCTCTGGTAGACTCAGGGGCAAGTGCAGCTACATACAAAGCTCCCCCAGGTAGCCTCAGCTAGACTCAGGGGGTCAAGTGCAGACTCGCACACAGCTAGAGGTAAAGCTCCCCCAGGTAGCCTCTGCTAGACTCAGGGGTAAAGTGCAGCCTGGAACACAGCTACATACAAAGCTCCCCCAGGTAGACTCTGGTAGACCCAGGGGCAAGTGCAGCTACATACAGACAAAGCTCCCCCAGGTAGCCTCTGGTAGACTCAGGGGCAAGTGCAGCTACATACAGACAAAGCTCCCCCAGGTAGCTTCTGGTAGACTCAGGGGGTCAAGTGGAGACTCGCACACAGCTAGAGGTAAAGCTCCCCCAGGTAGCCTCTAGCAGGGCTGTAGGGGCAAGTGCTGTCACACACAGACAAAGCTCCCCCAGGTAGCCTCTAGTAGACTCGGGGTCAAGTGCAACCTGCCACACAGCTAGAGGTAAAGCTCCCCCAGGTAGCCTCTGGCAGGACTCAGGGGCAAGTGCAGTTACATACAGACAAAGCTCCCCCAGGTAGCCTCTGGTAGACTCAGGGGCAAGTGCAGCTACATACAGACAAAGCTCCCCCAGGTAGCCTCAGCTAGACTCAGGGGGTCAAGTGCAGTCTCACACACAGCTAGAGGTAAAGCTCCCCCAGGTAGCCTCTGCTAGACTCAGGGGTAAAGTGCAGCCTGGAACACAGCTACATACAAAGCTCCCCCAGGTAGACTCTGGTAGACCCAGGGGCAAGTGCAGCTACATACAGACAAAGCTCCCCCAGGTAGCCTCTGGTAGACTCAGGGGCAAGTGCAGCTACATACAGACAAAGCTCCCCCAGGTAGCTTCTGGTAGACTCAGGGGGTCAAGTGGAGACTCGCACACAGCTAGAGGTAAAGCTCCCCCAGGTAGCCTCTAGCAGGGCTGTAGGGGCAAGTGCTGTCACACACAGACAAAGCTCCCCCAGGTAGCCTCTGGTAGACTCAGGGTCAAGTGCAGCAGTGCCTGTGAAGGTTGCCTGTGCCGTACCTGAGCTGGGAGTCCGTCGTTTCGGGATGGTGCCTGTAGTGGAAGTCCGTGTAAGGCGCCAGGATTTGCTACACACAAAGACAAAAATCCCCCAGGTAGCCTCTAGCAGGGCTGTAGGGGCAAGTGCTGCTACACACACACAGACAAAGCTACCCCAGGTAGCCTCTCCCCGTGTCTCTCTCCCCATGTCTCTCTCTCCCCGTGTCTCTCTCCCCGTGTCTCTCTCTCCCCGTGTCTCTCTCTCCCCGTGTCTCTCTCTCTCCGTGTCTCTCTCTCCCCGTGTCTCTCTCTCCCCGTGTCTCTCTCTCCCCGTGTCTCTCTCTCCCCGTGTCTCTCTCTCCCCGTGTCTCTCTCCCCCGTCTCTCTCTCCCCGTGTCTCTCTCCCCGTGTCTCTCTCTCTCTCCCCGTGTCTCTCTCTCCCCGTGTCTCTCTCTCCCCGTGTCTCTCTCTCCCCGTGTCTCTCTCTCCCCGTGTCTCTCTCTCCCCGTGTCTCTCTCCCCGTGTCTCTCTCTCTCTCCCCGTGTCTCTCTCTCCCCGTGTCTCTCTCTCCCCGTGTCTCTCTCTCCCCGTGTCTCTCTCCCCGTGTCTCTCTCTCTCTCCCCGTGTCTCTCTCTCCCCGTGTCTCTCTCTCCCCGTGTCTCTCTCTCCCCGTGTCTCTCTCCCCGTGTCTCTCTCTCCCCGTGTCTCTCTCTCCCCGTGTCTCTCTCTCCCCATGTCTCTCTCTCCCCGTGTCTCACTCTCCCCGTGTCTCTCTCACCCCGTGTCTCTCTCTCCCCGTGTCTCTCTCTCCCCGTGTCTCTCTCTCCCCGTGTCTCTCTCTCTCCCCGTGTCTCTCTCTCACCGTGTCTCTCTCTCCCCGTGTCTCTCTCTCCCCGTGTCTCTCTCTCCCCTTGTCTCTCTCTCAGCGTGTCTCTCTCTCCCCGTGTCTCTCTCTCTCCCCGTGTCTCTCACCCCGTGTCTCTCTCTCCCCGTGTCTCTCTCTCCCCGTGTCTCTCTCACCCCGTGTCTCTCTCTCCCCGTGTCTCTCTCTCCCCGTGTCCCTCTCCCCGTGTCTCTCTCTCCCCGTGTCTCTCTCTCCCCGTGTCTCTCTCTCCCCGTGTCTCTCTCTCCCCGTGTCTCTCTCCCCGTGTCTCTCTCTCCCCGTGTTTCTCACCCCGTGTCTCTCTCTCCCCGTGTCTCTCTCTCCCCGTGTCTCTCTCTCCCCGTGTCTCTCTCACCCCGTGTCTCTCTCTCCCCGTGTCTCTCTCCCCATGTCTCTCTCTCCCCGTGTCTCTCTCTCCGTGTCTCTCTCTCCCCGTGTCTCTCTCTCCATGTCTCTCTCTCCCCGTGTCTCTCTCCCCATGTCTCTCTCCCCGTGTCTCCTCGTGTCTCTCTCTCCCCGTGTCTCCGCCCCCCCCGTGTCTCTCTCCCCGTGTCTCCCTCCCGTGTCTCCCCCCCATGTCTCCCCGTGTCTCTCTCCCCGTGTCTCTCTCTCCCAGTGTCTCTCTCTCCCCGTGTCTCCCCGTGTCTCCCCGTGTCTCCCCGTGTCTCTCCCTCACCGTGTCTCTCTCTCCCCGTGTCTCTCCGTGTCTCTCCCGCCCGTGTCTCCCCGTGTCTCTCTCTCTCCCCGTGTCTCCCCGTGTCTCTCCCCGTGTCTCCCCCCGTGTCTCTCCCCCCGTGTCTCCCCGTGTCTCTCTCTCTCCCGTGTCTCTCTCTCCCCGTGTCTCCCCGTGTCTCCCCGTGTCTCCCCGTGTCTCTCTCTCCCCGTGTCTCTCTCCCCGTGTCTCTCTCCCCGTGTCTCTCTCCCCGTGTCTCTCTCCCCGCCGTGTCTCCCCGTGTCTTTCTCTCCCCGTGTCTCCCCGTGTCTCCCCCCCCCATGTCTCCCCCCCTGTCTCTCCCCGTGTCTCCCCGTGTCTCCCCGTGTCTCCCCATGTCTCTCTCCCCCCCTGTCTCTCCCCGTGTCTCCCCGTGTCTCCCCGTGTCTCCCCATGTCTCTCTCCCCCCCTGTCTCTCCCCGTGTCTCCCCGTGTCTCCCCGTGTCTCCCCGTGTCTCTCTCCCACCCTGTCTCTCCCCGTGTCTGTCTCTCACCCCGTGTCTCCCCGTGTCTCTCCTCCGCCGTGTCT